ATTACTGATCAGTTATTGAAACCCTGTTTCCATAGAGAGTCCATGTATACACTGCCCAGCCCAGGTATTGAACTCACAATTACAATATTCCCAAATTCATGAACCAACACCTTAATCCTCCTGGCTATTGCCCCTGGGCTGGGGCAGTACAGGCTCAGATTCAGCAGAAGCAATTACTGAGCAGTACTAAAAAGAGCTATCCTTAGACAGGGTCAGCGGAATAAAAACAATCCAACCCTGTAGATTAAATAAAGGGCTCAGTTTGAAATTTCTTGAAGGTTACTCAGATCAGCAGACACATGAAGAAGGTTGGAGAACACAACGGCTTGAACATAGAAATAACAATATTCAGACATTAAATAATTCCTCGTCCCAGAAATTCAGACAGAAAAGATATTTTGGAACAATGACATTTATGAAAAAACAAAATGTTAAAATAAATAAAAAAAATTAAAATCAATAAAAAAAAAAAAAAAAAAAAAATAATAAAATAAAATCAAAAGAAAATAAAAATAAAGAAATAAAAAAACAAAATATTAAAAATGTTTAAAAAAAAAAAAAATAATGAACACTCTGGTGTAATTTATTTTTCCTTAAACAATCTTAAATCAAAAATTAAGTTTTACAATTTTTAGAGCACATTTAATTGAAAAGGTTTAATGTTTGAATTTAATAAGATTTCAGTAAACGAACAAAAGAATTAGTATTGGTTTTGTTCATTGAGTTTAATTTTCCTTTCTTAGGAAGAATGCACACTACGAGTTAATCGTACATACACAAGTGTTTGTATCAAAGTTAAGATATTTGACTCAACTAAAGCTGACCTGGATGAGGAGATCAAACTTTAAATGGGTAGGCTCAAAAAAGAAAAGACAGAGAAAAGAGGAAAAGAGAAAAAGAGAGAGAAAAGAATAAAGAAAAAGGGAAAGAAAGAAAAATGAAAGAGAAAAAGAGAGAAAGAAAGAGGAACCAGAAAGAGAGCAAAAAAAATTTGATTTATCAATTTTTTTCAGATTATTTAAAGCAAAATATTTTAGGGTTGTAAGAATTTTTGGAGGGAGTGATTTTCTGATAGAAGTTCTACTATTTAACCCATAGCTGGGAAGAGAAGAGGTGGATAGATACTTTTCCCAAAGGTATTTGCCCCCAAGTGAACAAACCCAACTGAAATTCAAACTCAACTCTCCATTTCTCATTCCAAGCTGTTGTTATCCATTATGCCACACACACATCCAAGCTTATGCTGCCTGGTATTCCCAAGTAGTCACCCATCTGGGTAGCAACCAGGTTTGATGTTACTTAACTTCAGTGATTGTATAAGAACCAGTGTTTTAATGAGATATGTATGCAATCCAGAGAGAGAAAAGAAAGAAAAAATAAAAAGAAAGAAAGAAAGAACAAAGGAAGGAAAGTAAATAAAAAGAAAAAGAAAGGAAAGTAAAAGGAAAAGAAAAAAAATGAAAAAGTAAAAGAAAATGGAAAGGAAAATAATGGAAAGAAATGGAAAAAAGGAAAAAGAAAAAGAGAAGAAAAGGAAAAGGAAAAAGAAAGAGAAAAAAGGAAAAGGAAAAAGAAAAAAGAAACAAAAAAAAAGAAAAAAAAAAAGAAAGTGAGCCTTGCGATCACTTCCCCCTCTCTCTTTCAGAAGGGATTCCTTTGTGTGGTCTACTTTGTGGAAATTTAATCTGATAATCGACTCATTATTACTACAAATCTTTTTGATGTACTTCAAGGCAGCAGATTTAGGCGGACATGCAACAGAGAGAGAGAGAAAAATAAAAAAGAAACTAAAGTAAAGAAAGATTTATCTCGTTCCCCCTGCCCCCCAAAAAATTTCAAAGGCAAACAAAAATGATAGTATTAATCAAAATTGGTTGGGTTACCAAAAGTTTACCTTTGTATTGATCAAGCAGCCTGTTGGCATCAAAAGAATTTGGCTTACAAAATTTCCTTTTTTTATTTATTCTTTAATTTAAAAATAAAGAAACATCCTATAATCCACATTACATTTGACACATTCCAGCTACTAAATGTACCAATTATTATGAGTTCGAGGCAGTTATTATTATACAACCTTTGTCCCATAATAGCTGGTACATTTACATACAAATTTCATCCACTAAATGTACCAACTATTATGGCACAGTTGCAATAGAAGTAATTTTCAGTGTGCCCACATGAGACACAAGGTCGAGGTTTAAAATGTGTTTAAAACAGCAATAGTGGAAAAATTGCCCAAGTCCCCCCCCCGACACGTCCCCTTTTGAGTGTATTGGGCAATAAACCCAGCCTCCTCCTAAAGAGATACAGCCTACAAGTGGCAGTATGAACAAAAAGCTTTTCACAACACATGGTTATTGGGAGATAGGAACTAAACTTTAGCACTATTAAATGTCTTGCTACCTTATTTATGTTTTAAGGATGCAACCAACCAAATAAAAAAGTAACAACTACAGATGCTGTGTATTCCCTTCATGAAGCCATTCATTAATATTTTCTAAATATCCCTTGTTGGAGCAGGGAGAAGATACAACACCAAGTTTCTGATAAAGATTTACTTAGTATTGCTTAGTTTAACCCAAGGCCATAGAGCACTTCCGTCCGACCCAGGACGCCACCCATCTGACTAGGTTTGATACTGCTTAACCCCAGTGTAAGATGACCCTTAGATCAGTGTAATCTAATACAATGCTACAAGAATGGTACACCCAATAGAAATTGAACCCACTACACTGGCTGATTTGATCTGAGAAACAAACTAAACCAGCCAAACTTCACTTACCGTCCAAAACGTATCATTTACCATTAAATTTAGTATTTACCTTTTAAAGATGCTCCCAACTCGAGGTACATGTGTCATAAAATCGTGGGGTACAATGTTGTACAGTATAACAAACTTTGGAATCTTTTTAAATGTTCACATGTTAACAGTTGGGGTAGGCATGCAAATGATGACGGATTTTGTCAAAATTCATGCAATTATTTTATTTTTTTTTTATACTTTCAAATTTGAAACTCTTTACATATTGCCGAACTTGTTATTCAAGCAAAACTGATGCTTTGTCAACACGGCTTTCCGAGTTATTCTTTATAATGCTGATGTAGATTCAACCAAATTAATTGATCACTTCCCAAAACACAGGAACAAATTAATTTTTTTTTTTTTTTTTTACTCTATGGATTTATTGGCAAACACACAAGTAGACTCTTCAACTCTAATGGTAGGAATTTTCCCAAGAAAATAAATCTGTAAATAATCCAAATTTTTAGCTTTTGTAGGGGCATTTTTGCCATGAAAAAAAGAAAAATTACTTTTATTTAAAAACACATAGGTTCTAAAGAGTAGGGCTTATTGGGGTTCTCATGAACTCGTTAAAAAAAAAAAAAAAAATGTCTGGAAAATTTTGATTAAGTTTTATTTAGAAAACCTTTTAATATCAATTAAATGGAGCTCTTATTAAAATACAATTTTAATAAGAAATTTTAAAAAATTTAATAAGAAATTTAAAAAAAAAAAAAAAAAATTATTAAAATTAAAATTTTAATAATATTTGATTACTAATTTTTAGGGGGTCCATGGGAAACTTTCAGAATGCCCCAAATAAATGGTTAGGAATCCCTGTTCTACAGGGTTGAGAAATTTTAAAATAAAACAGGAAAAAAAAAAAAAAGTCAAAAATGGGGAAAAAATATTTTTTTATTTGTCATCAATTTTTCCTTCTTGTTTGACAAAAACAAAGTCGGAAATTAGATTTTTTTTTTTTTTTTTTTTTCCAGAGCCTAATAAACTTAGTTCAGCCACATTCCTTTCCTTGAAAACAAACGCGGCGTTCAATCTTGCATGTCCATAACACCCCCAGTCACTCATCATGGACAGCTCCACTCACCACCTCCGCTCAGCTAGGCAACAGGAGGATAAAAGGGTTGAATCTGCTTTGCCTTGGTGTTCACCCAATTATTTTGGTTTGTTTCTGGTTTCAATGCCAGAAACTCTGGACAGGAAGGGATAGATTCTCAGTGAAACATGTCTATCCATACTGTTTACACAACTCAAATTCCATATATGGATGGGATCCTTCAATGGCTTCCCAGCAGGGTTAAGAGGTTCATTATGAGGACCCTCCACTCCCACCAAACAGTGTTTTACCAGATATCTCTGCTCTGATGGACATCTCGATTCGCCAGAATATTTGTGTGTTTTATTTACAGAGAGAGCAAGAGAGAGAGAGAGAGACTTGTTCCTTTCTCCAGCAAATAAGACACTTAGAAAACTAACAAGGAAAAAAAAGAAAAAAAAAATTAAAATCACAGGAATGAACCTCTTTGGGGATTGAGTGATGGAGATTTTTTTCCTTTTTTTTTTTTTTCTTTTCGGAGAGTGAGTAGAGGGGCAATATAGAATTTTGGCAGGGGACATATTGGAATCAGCAGCAAAAGTAGATATTCACGCAGTGAAATATTATGAATTTTACAAGTACACTACTGGCCGTAAGAGAGGAGGCCTGCCCAAATATTATCAGGACAAAGCCTGCTGATTGAAAAAGCATCATTTTTACTGGATGTGCCACAACCATATTTAACCCCACCCCGCCCCAAGCTGAGGTCAATCGTTGTCCTGCAGTGATATAGATTTTCCAGGCATACAACTGAACAGGATTGGTAGGCGAAATACTCGTTTGAGGAAATCACATCATCTCACCAAAAGAAGATGGGAGAGCGTGTCAAAAGTAATCTGCATCCCTGAGATCTTCCCGCTTTCTCCAAGGATGCATTTTAGTCAGGCAGATGAAAGCAAGGGAGTTCAGGTGGGAACTAAACCAATGGTGACAGCATGGTTAAACGGCCTCTTACCTTTCAGAGGCGATAGCAACGGAGGGGGGGGACAAGGATTAGATAATCTCAAAAAATTGTTTTCTGAGTCTTGTCATCTTTTATCATTATTTGGTGAAAGTGGGGTGTATGTGCGTGGTTTTTTTTTTTTTTTTTTTATTGTCCGTTAT